CTTTTCTTCCCTGTTTTCTTCCAACTTATTTAACTTTTAATGTGAGTGTCTGTGTGCTCACTTATTAACTTGGCTCAGTAGAGTGTGATAGAGATATCAGGCCTGAAAAATCATAGACAGATGAGAAGTTCCCAAAGTTACATTAATATTATCTTAAATGATGTATCTCTAGAGCCAAATAAGACAGGCAGTGTTATTCTCTTCAGTGTTTTTAATGTTTTTATTTTTTGTTCTAACAGATGCAAAAACTAGAACCAAACCTGACTTAAGCTTATTTTCTTGATCAGTACCATACAGTGATCAAAATCACAGAAGGTTTGAGAATAAAGAAATTTTCAGATGGCAGAATTCTTACTTTCAAAGGAACTTTTTTTGCATATATCCTCAGAGTTTCTAGTTCTATTTTACTGTCATTAACAAATTATGAAGGAATTAGGAAACAAAGGAAAAATGGCAAGATTTAATGTACAATCTTCACAAATAAGGTATCATGCAGGAAAAGCCCAACCCTAATCTCACCCCTGTATCAATAAAACTATGGATTCACAAGAAAAAACAATCCATTTCCTTTGGAGCAATGTTGCTGCTTTTCATCTGAGACATAGTAATTAACTCGGTATTCACTTTTTGTATAAGGTGATCAACAAATAGAAGGTGCAAGTTTAAGCCAAACAGCTCAACTAGCAAGAAGTAACTCCTCAGCAGAGAGCTGACTCATTTAGATCAGGTGATTGCCTCCAAAGATTTGGTTAAAAAAACCCTCACCCATAATTAGAAACTGTTTAATAGAAAACGCTTGAAAACCAGCCTTGTTCCATCTTAATCAAAACTCTTCTGATTTTCTTTTACACTGCAAGCTGCAAAAACAGATCAAAAGCCCTGAGAAGCTTTGAGTATTGTCTGAGCTAAGGTTTGCTCATAGGAGGTGTACTTAAATCAGTACCTCTTGCCATTTCAACTTAGGGTTGTTTTCAGGTTTCCTCAAAGGCCCTGTCTTCATCTACATCTCCCCTAAAATTGAGTATACAATTTTTTCAAAATACTTTAAAACTTAAAAAATGGATTAAGGAGAGATATGGAAATATCTGTACAGTTCAAATAATAGCTTCCCTGAACATGAAAGGTAATTCATGTGAAGACAGGATGCAAAGTGAAAATAAAGTCAGTATTTCCAAATAAATTTGGTATGCACTTATTCTGAAACATTTTTTCCTTTTGGCCTAATCAAGTTAATTTCAAGCTATAACAAGCTGAGCAGAATAAAGAACTATTTAAAATATGGTGCCATCATTTACAGTAGTCTTTTCGCAAAGTTTGTTAAATTACATAAATTATGTAGTATATCACACAGTAACTTTGTCTGTAGACAAAATCTGAAAACTAAACAAGCTGACTGAGTTTAAATATATAAAATAACTTCTGTGCATTCTTGATTTTGAAGGCAGAGGCTCTAAACAGAATTCTAGCTTCCCTTCACCCCTCCCAAGAAACCAAAAAAAACCCTCAAAGTTATCTTCCACATAGTTTCAGTTTAATAATAAAAGCAAGCTGATTATAATGAAATAACATCAAGAAATAAGGAATCTTCTTTTCTACATCATCTCCTGGAGCCACATGACTCAATAAAAATCTCTTTTTAGAGTTTAGAAGTTTTCTACTTCTCAGGGCTGCAGAAAATACCTTGGATGGAAGGCAAATTCAGAAGAAGGAATTCTCGTCTCTGTTTCATAAACAGAAAACTCAGAGTACAGATATTTTAAATAGTTTTTCTTTGAAGTGTGACCCTTAAATATGTATAGACAAACCTCTAAATAAATAGAACCTTGTATCTATCCATTTTGCTGATTTCTAAGTGAAATTATTTTGACAATTTGTATCATGATCTTCAAAAACTTGTGAGATGGAACCAGTGCTTAAAAGAAGTACTGGTTTTGTGTTCCAGAGCAAAAAATCACCGTCACATATATTTCTTCAGCCTGTAGGTAATACAGCACAGTACCGAACCATAATTTAAGATATGCATCTAGGTTTAGCAGCATTTTTTCCCTGTTTTTTGTCATACCCACATTGCTGGGAAGGCGATGGAGAATGCATGGAGTGCAAGCCTTGCTGCTGGGGTTTGGAGCTGTGCATCATTTATTACAATGATTACAGTGAATTGGCTACAGTCAGAGATACATGCATTCACAAAGGGATTTTTCCTAGCACATTTTGTCCAGCTCTTACCTGTTTCTTCTGGGTTTGATCCAAAACCAATAAAGCACACTGGAGGTTTTCAATTCAATTCAAAGGGCTTTGAATCAGGCCATTTACTTTGTTTGCAACAAGAATCTTTGGAATACAATAGAGACCACAGCACCCTGCATGTAATTCTGAGTCAAGCCAGTGCACTTCACGATGGAAGAAAAGGGGTGGATTTGCTTTTTTTGTTGATGTTTTGGTTGTTGG